ATCATTCAAAGTACTCATTATTTAAAGGGAAAGAGAAAAACTATATGTCGGGAAGCCTAACAAACGATATTAAGGCAGTGTTTGCGTAAGCTTAAAAAAAGCACTTTTCAGCTTTTGGGTTAAAAAAAGTTAATATCAGTGTTTTCTAACACCAACTTCTACTTAAAAAAACACTTTAAAGCCAAAAGCTTGAAGTTGGTATATGGTAGCTTCTAACTGCTTCTTGGTATTTTGGTAAATAAATGGAAGTTTGAGAATGGTTATAATGGTTAACATAAGGAGCTAAACTCCAATATACCCCTCTGCCGTACATCACCTTTGCCATTGCCGATTCTCCCTCTTTGCATACGGAACGATGAAGCAAGCCAAGCAGTAGCCTGAGATGCATATAACATGCAAGCGATTTACACCAGAGAAGCAAAAGAATCGTAGGTCAGCGACATCCTTCCTTGAAAGTGTCCACCTCGGTGACAACATCGCCGTCCACGTCTCCGGAGTTCATATTTGACACAGTCGTCCTTAATTAGCAGCAGCTCATGGTCAATTTGTTATTAATCTTTGAATGATTCAATTGATATTTTCAATTGGGTGGAGGTCCATATGAGAAAAAATCCGTGGAGAAAGAAGTTGCAGTTGGTCGAGTAGTTCTCCTGATCTCCCTCTTCATTTTAGATTCACTGATTAATTTGTATAAGGGCATTTTGGTATTTTGATAATATATTCCATCAATAATCATTTTTTTATCAAACACTCCAACTTTTACCTTTTCATAAAAATCACTTCTGTTTCCAAACACTATCTACTTTTACTTTAAATCACTTTTTCAATAATCTCTTAGAAAAATCACTTTTGAAAAGCATAAGCAAACGCAAACACTCCCTAAGTGATATAATGCCTAGACTGAATTTAAGAGACAATGACACAAACGTATCCTTGAGTTTGGCGCGCTTTTTTACAAATCCGTTGATCACTTTTTACAAATCCATTGATCACAAAAGTGCCACTTCTTGATGATAGATTCCTAAGACACATTTCAAAATGCTCAAAAAGCCTGCAAAAGTCAATACTGAAGTTTAAGAGCACAAGAAGTCTACGAGCCGGTTTGGTAGCACGAAAATTGGATGTTTTGGCTGATTCTGCTGAAATTTATGAAGTTCTGGCTGAAGTGGTTGCATTGGCTGATTTTGCTGATTTAAGAAAAAAATATTTTTAAAATATATTTTATTAATAAAATAAAGAAAAATTTATATGTAAAAATAGCTAAAATGGTCATCTACAGTAACTTCAGCCAATACAGCCAGAAAAGTAACTTCAACCTCACTTTTTCTGCTTATTACAAAATTTAGCGCGCGAAATAAAAAATTACGTGTGTGGTGAAAAACTTGTCTGATAAGCCAGATAAGCCGAAAAACAGTGGTTCCAAATGGCCTATACAACTTGTGCAGTCTATAGACTTCAAATAAAGATGGAAAACTCCAAGTGTTGGGATTCCCCACTCATTTCTTCCTGGGCGGGTCATGTTGAGCAATATAGTTGTAGCCGACAAAGCCTGACCGTATTTGAAGGCAGACATTGGGCCCCTTGCGCTGATTGGGCCAAATGGGGTATTTGGACTTGTCCGGACGATGGCCTAATACTCCAACAATATTGTAAATTAAACCTGAATATAAGTTTTAGAACTCAAATGTGATCTTCCCAACGAAATATAAAACGGTTTAAATGGAACACGATAAGATCAAATCAAATACTTGGCCTATTTTATGTAATATATCATTTTTAGAGTAAATAGAGCATATTTGGTGATAATAAAGTTTCAAGGGAAAACCTCCAAGCTTTATTGTATGCACAGAGAGGAGTTGCACAAAGGACTGGTCGAAATGATCAACATAGAAATCTAAGAGGGTGTCACATATCATGGATGTTTTAATTTTAATACTTTAAGAAGCCTAACTATGTGTTGCGTGAAGCCCACAACAGTTCTTATTAAACTTAAATCAGCCCAAAAACAATATTCTAGAGTCAAGTAAAAAAAGAATATTTTTTGAAAAAAATAACATGTATATTACTAACAAAGTTTTCTCAGACAAAAATATGACTAGTTGTGTTTTTTAGAATAAAAATCTCATTAGCTGCTGTGTACGAATAACTGTTAGATGATGAGTTACTGGGAATAAATCACTTTCTGAAAAATTTTAAAATAAGTCACGTTTTTATCTTTTGAATTTAATTTAAGAATATTCATTAAGAAATGTCAATATTATTTGACACAAAAATGTGTAAGCCTTAGGCGCCTCATGAGTGTATCCCTCATAACTTATATCTCACGGGGTTAGGTATACATTTATATATTTGGCTGACGCTTAAACTCCGACAAAATACCTCTATTTCGCTCTAATGTCGGTGGACGTAACTCAGCTGGTAGATAGAAGGTGCCACAAGGAGTAAGTTCTGGGTATGAATCCTGAAAACTGCGGTAAGAGGTTACTATGTGAAAATCCAGAGCCGGCCTGGGCCAGGTGTAGGTTGTGCAATGACACAGGGCCCATAAAAAAATGAAGGCCCATAAATAATTAGTAGTATTAGTATATACTTCGTATATAGTAAATGCGAGTAAATTGTTTTAAGTTCTCAATAGCATAGTGGCAATATGAGAGCCGACTCAAAAAAAAAAATTTGAGTCGAAGCTTTGTGCAAATTTTTTTTGATTTTTTTTTTACTTTTGCTCTTTTAAAGCCTTAAATCATTTCAAGTGCCTTCACTAATTCCCCAACGTTCTCTTTCTTTCTCTAGCAGATTGTTCTCCAATTTGTCTCTTCTTCCCCAATTCTTCTTCCCAGCAGTCCATATGTATGTACGAATCTATATATTCTTTTTCTTTTTGAAAAGATTTTGATTCATAAAATTTAACTTTTACATTTGTGTACATAATATAAACCAATTTTAATTACATTGTTAATCCTTCAATTATCTTATATCATTTGTGTATTTATTAACATAATTTTGAACAAATAACAAACACCATATGATTAACATTTATTTATAACAAAGTGAAAATTATTTATTTTAAGCATGATATTATAATGATTTTGTTTAGTGAATATTTTGTTAGTTATGATTGTCTTTACAATATTATTTAATGGATTAGTCGATGACATTCCTGAGATAATATCTAGGGCAAGTTCCCCCTCACGAATTTTTCTAGATACGCCACTGAGTACGCTCTTTGAAAAGTCGGAGCATTTCAACAGCAAGCAACCTAGCGAGACAACAAAGTGTGAAAGTAATCACTCAGGAATTGAAGCTACCGAGCGGAAGAGATGAGTGAACGATCACAATCGAGTTAATGGTCAGGCAAAGTAGTGAAGGAACGACACCGGCTATGTAACGAACAAACTACGTCAAAACTCACTCATTTAGTCACGCAATTGCGGCACAACGGTCCTCAGTTGCGGCACTCACCACTTGCCATAAGTCCTGCACTTTCTAGGTTAGGTTTTTATTTTGGAATCATAATTTTTTTCTTCCATCTATTTATATTATAGCTGTATTTTTAATAGATTTCAAGTGTTAGATAGTTTGTTGTTGAGTTTAACAAATTCAAGGTTATTAAGTTGTTACTTTTGCATTGATAAATGATATTAAGTTATTAGGTAAATACATTTGGTTTCTCTTTGCATTAGAAAAAAGACCCAATTTTTTCTTTGCACATGGTCCAAGAATTCTTAGGGCCGGCCCTGTGAAAATGCATAGAACCTTTTCAAGTACCAGGATCAGAGCTCCACTCTTTATCTGTCAACTTTGTGATTAAAGTTTTATTTTACATCCTCTCAATAAACTGTTTGGTTGATGGTAGGGCACTTGGAGATGGGGGTCATTATCTTTTTTTTTCCTATTCCGCTCTGATGCATGCGCCTCTAAGGTTTTTATAACACGGTCATGGGGTTGCACTAGAGTAGAAACAAATAAGGCATGTGAATGAAGAAAATGTGCCAAAACCTAAGTTGGCTTGAATTGGCCCGTTTGGAGAGATTGTTTGGCCAAAATGATTGATTCTATTGAATTCATTGAATGAAATCATTTTGATAAGGCTTGTTTCAGCTAAACAAGAGTACATTTGATGATTTTTTAAAATGGGTGAATTTGCTTAGATCAACTAAATCCATTCATCCAAAAGTGTTTAGTGGTCTGTTTCGCTATTTAAATATTTTGTTCGAGTGTGCAAGTACATAAAAGGATATATAATAATTATTTTAGGCAATACAAAAATTCAGGGGATAGAGTGGTGTCATTAGAGTTAAAATCGATCAAAATATTGAGACCGTTTGGCAACACTGTTTTTCGGCTCATCAGACTTATTAGCCAACTTTTTCACCACACATGTAATTTTTGCTTTCGCGCGCTAAATTGTATTGGCGGGTTACTTTTCTGGTTGTATTGGCCGAAGTTACTGTAGAGGATTATTTTAGCTATTTTTACATATATTTTTTTCTGTATTTTATTAATAAAATATATTTTAAATTTTTTTCTTAAATCAGCCAATGCAACCACTTCAACCAGAACTTCATAAATTTCAGCAAAATCAGCCAAAACAGCCGATTTTGGTGCTACCAAACGGGCTCATTAAGGGTGGCTGATTTTTTGGCTGACAATTATTATCAGGGGAACCAACCAAATCATGAGGCGTTTGGTGATTGTTTGAGAAGCTTTAAAGACTATCAGCCCATTCAAGCTCACCAACTGGGTTCTAGTCAACAGCTACTTGGTTTATAACGCAAAACATGCAGAATGAAGCAACTGGAATCCACCAGCGTGAGTAGATGTAGATACACAGGCCCTGTGTCACAGGTTGCGTTTGTTTTTTCGGCGAACACCATCTCCAAACGCTGCATTTTGTAGCGTTTTATGTTCAATATTTATTGGCATTTTGGCTCAAACACCCATAGCCAAACATAGCCACAGTTAGATGAGACATCACAAACAATTGACTTGGCGAGAAATACTAACAAGAAGCAGATCTTGAGCATATGCGAATACTACTCAGTATTTACTGTAAATTACAGTCAACATCAGTTAGCCAAGACCATTATGCCATTCATGAATGCAAAAAATACATGGTTTCATCTCAATCTTCATTTCTTCTATAATACTATGATGATTATTGACTGTTTCAAAATATATGATGGCCACAGGCAATATAGCCATATCGTGTACAATATCAGACTAAAAACTCAAAGACGGCACTCTTATGTGGCCAGAAATGAATAATTAAATATGTTTTTGTCAAAAACAAAGAAATACTAATAATTAAATGAAGATCTTGAGCATGCGCAAATAAATCCTACTCGGTATTTCATATCAGTGGTATGACTTCACGTGGAAAATTTGGCATCTTGGCTTGAGTCCGCTCTTAGTGGCAACCTGCTCAAACTTCTTGATTGCTACTTCATTCTCCTCTAAGCTGGTCTGAACAAAGAACCTTGCCCACCACGATGAGCTCCTCATTTTTGCCTTCACATTAAGCCATTTATATACCATCAGTCCCTATATATTTTCTTTATTCTGATATGAAAACAAACTGCATTCACATAGGAATCATCTCCAGTGATTAAGTGCAAAATCACAATAATCACACTGTCATCTTATAATCCACTTTACATTTTTTTAGTTTTAATATGATTTGCACTTGGTTAGGATGCAAAGCAAATAAGGGAAAATGAAAAGCATTGGGAAGTGGTCAGAGCAACAATTTGATATTGATGAAAGTATCCCAGCAAACAAGAAGAAACTCACAGGGCGCCCGAATTTGGACAGCTCTGCAATTTTTGCTCTAGATTGCCCTTGATGACCTAGTCAATAGAGAAAAAGCAAAAGCCAATAAAAAGCAGAATAGTAACTTCAGTGCATCCATCATATATGCAGAGTACTAGAATAATTCTCTCCAAGAACTAGTGAAAAGCATAAAGCTGCTCAACTCATCATATTTACAACACTTAGTATCTAACTAAGCGCCCGTTTGGTAACATTGAAATTGATTGAGTTGACTGAATCGGCTAAAATTGATGAAGTTCTGGCTGAAGCGATTGAATTGGTTGAATCTGCTGATTTTTGAAACATTTATATTTAGAGTATTTTATATTAATGAAATAAAGAAAGAATCAAAGAAATATATGAAAAAATAGCTTAAATCCGCCTCTACAGTAATTTCTGCCAATTCAGCCAGAAAATAACTCTTATTTTACTTATTTTGATTTTTACACAATTCAGCGAGTGAAATCAAAATTTACATGTTTGGTGAAAAGTTGACTTACAAGGCTGATAAGCCGAAAACAAGGATCACCAAACAGGCTCTAAATGGTTCATCCCTGGCGGGTTGGGGGTCCACTTCTTGGCGTGGTGGAGAAGGGTGTAAATTGAGGGATTACATATCTCGAGAAACTAGGAGCTGGATTGTATTAATTAATATTTTTATTTATGCCTGGAAAATGGGAATCAACCAGTTTCCCATGCATGGTTGGAAGTTGGAACCACCACACTAAGCTCTTGTTTGTTTGTGTGAATTCAGAGGGAAGGAGTGATATTTGTATTATTAGTTTATTATTACATTTATATGGTTAGAAAGAAAGTGAAGTTGAATTATAATATAGAAATACATTATTTAACTATTGTTTTATCCCTTAGTCTCTGATCTCCCACTCTGACTTTATGAGCTGGCTATTAAGAAAATCAAACTGCGTAATTGACATGTATTTGTAGAAGAAAAAACGTGAAACACCCAATTCTTTCCTTCCAAGAAAACAGTGAGAAAATTTAAGGACACAAAAAAGGCATGAAGATAAATTAGTGAAAGGAGTAGAAACAAAAGACAATCCCCCCCCCCCCCCCAAATCTCTGCTACCAAACAAGGGCTAAAGGTCAGATCAAGCGGTCGTCTTATTCCCTACATAAGACCTCCACTCAGAAAGAGTCACGAAAGACAAGAGAGGGAGTTTGTTTTTTACCTGTGAAAATAACAAGACCATCGGAGGACACCCTAGCCAACTCGGGGAGTGTCTTGTTAAGATATTTAGGAGATAGGTAATCCACAGCATCTGATACGATAACAAGTGAGAATGATTTTGAACGATAGGGTAGAGGGAACTTGATATCAGCCACCCGAACTAGACCCTGCCTCACAAGGCTTTTGCAGTTGACATCAGCATCCTCTATGTCATAGGGTTCTATACCCCACGCTTCGGTTTCCTCTTCCTTTAACAGCCTGGAGACCACCGCACAAGTGTCGGGTCCCACATGCAATACACGGCGCATACTGTCACCATATGCGCTCTTCAAGTAAGGAGTTGCCCTCTGAACCTCTGATGTGCATGTAAAGTCACCTGCATGCACCAAAAAATCCACAGATTGGGAAGAGTTCCAATTATAAAATATAAATATAAAAAATGAGTCTGGCTATCAAAATTACTACGTATATAGTTTGTGAGGTTTAAAAGACACTTGGTGTTCATTATAGTTTAGAAGGAATTGTTAAAACTTAGACTAAAACATGGCATTCTTCCAAAAATAGGATCATATGTTTGGTTTTCACGAAATAGGACTAATCATTCATTCCATTTCTACCCCTAATTTAATAAATTGATTAATTAACCTAATTAATTGTGCCAAAGTTCCTTTGTATAACCAAGGTCAGTCCGTTGGTGGCGGGTCGATCCGCTGGTGGCAGCATCTTGGCGGCAGCGGCGAATTCCAAAAATGTGGCATTTTAAACCAGTAGGTTCTACTTTGGAAAAATGTTATGTTTTGGTCCTATTTGGGTAAATCTCCCTATACTTTAATAAGAGTCTATTACAGTTTGTGCAGCTGAAAATACGCCTAGGGTCCTGTTGGAATCTGGAATAAGGAATTAAAATATTCAGGTAAAATAAATGATAGACTCAAACTCAAGAAATATACATTTGATATCTGTTTAAATTATCATATCTTTTTAATTATATTCTATAAAGATTTAAGAAATCTAAATAAGACATATGTAATTAAAAATTAATCAGATTCCATTGTCCTCTGCATTTTCAAAGTAAAGCCAAGCAATAGAAAATAACTTTCTTAGTGTTTTTCCCTTCCTCGTCTAATAGTTGCATCATGCGGTCTTTTACGCGGTGGTTTGGCCGTGTGCATAGAAGACCGAGTGATGCACTTGCTAGACGAGCTGAGAGGTGGGGGGAAAGGTGCAGGGAGGAGAGGGAGAGAAAGACTCAAATACATGTGGATCAGAGGAGTCAAGACTCAGGAGTGATATGCTACTTCTTGGAAGTGATATGCTACTTCTTGGGTTTGATGAGAGTATGACTTTGGAGAGAGCGGAGTGAAGGTAAAGTGCTCTTGTGAAGGATTGATCTCATTTCATCTTTTCTATCTTTTTATCTTTTTCATCTTTCTTTTGTTCCTTATCTTTTTATCGTTTATCTTTTTTATCATTATCTTATCTTTATCTCATACTTTTCTTTTTCTTTTTTATCTTATCTTATCTCTTATTATCTTTTTTATCTTTTTCAACTCCATTTTATATATTGATTCATGTTACCGGGCTATAAACTCTTATGGGACCAGGGCTGGGATGTTGTTGTAATGTTTTTCCCCTTCCACTAGCATTTCTCGTGATCCAAACATGCCATACATTCATCAGGGGAGAGAATTGTCTTCAGTTCTTAGCTATTGCCCACAAAGCTGAATTTGTTCATTTTATCAAGCTTAGATCATAAATGATCAGTATTTTAAACACAAATGGAACTGTCAATAATAGGAAAATAGCCAGTTTTCAGATGCTCTGGAACTAATTCAGATCCTTTGGAAGTCTCGCGAAGTGTATCATCATTAAGCATCATTATTTTAGTAGATAGTACACACAAAAAATACATCAAATCAAAAGATTAAACAGGTACCACATCAAGATACCATGTCATGGACAAATATGTACAGTTTTAAGTAAGTGAAACACTACAAAAGACCTCCATTGATAGTTACTACAATCTCTTTTAAGCAATTCACTATTATCTTATGGTGGAATGCTTTGTACTTAAAAAGGTTTATACTAAAAAGGTAAAAAAAAAAAAAAATAATACAAATGGGCGAAAAAAAAGTAGATAATATTACCATCTATCTTGCTAAGCGCTTCCTTTGTACTTCCACCTATACCTGTATTGAGTGGGAGGGAGAAAGAGAAAAGTAAATAATCAGTTAAGATGAGAGCACGACTCACATTGACGTATTGAACAACAACAACAACAACATCAACATTATAATACTACCTCCGTCCCACTATCATTAGGACAAGAGAGGGTGACACAGTTATTAAGAAAAGTGAGTTTATGTGGTTGATATTGAATTGATAAAGTAAGAATAAAGTAAAGAATTATTTAGAGCTGCACAAACTTTTCCAAATTTGGTACGGGACAATCTTAGTGGGATTTCCCGAAAAGGAAATATGGGACAATCCTAGCGGAACAGAGGGAATAATAAACAATTGAGGGAAGCAAATCCAGATATTTAATGGCTATCTCCAAGAAAAGTTTGAGTCTTTTTCAGGAATATCAATTTATAAGCCAAAATTTTACCTGATCCACTATAAAAATAGGTACATAAGCCGACAACACCCTGCAAGTTTTAGACATAATAACTAGTATGAGTAACTCTACATTTATGAAGTACATTGCAGTGAGATCTAAGTTCGGAATATCTGATAAATGTTGAAACTTCAAAGTACCAGTATGATAAGGACAGTAGATAATAGAGGGGAAATGCGTGATTTTGAATTAAAAAGCCACCCAAAGTTTCCACCGGCTCCAAATCGCCTTGTTGGGTATGCAGACTTTCTTGACATTTTGTTAGCAATGTGCCTAGCCTAAAGAATACCTACAAACTGGACAAAACAGGGTAAGTCTTGAGTTAGAGTTCTTTTAGGAATTGAAAATCTTGACATTTAATCAAACAAATACATATAAGGGAAAAATTAAAGTAACTTCTATTAATGGAGCATCATGTGCTCTGGAAATTTAATATAAAGCTCCATTAATGAGTATAAAGAAAGCACCTTTTTCATGAATCATTTTGTTAGTTAATGTAACTAACTTGATCTAGTCACTTGAGCAGTATCACGCATCAGATTTTCATATAGCAAAAACGAGATTTCAACAAGGACCCTTGAATACAGGAGACGATGGAGCAATATATGAATGAATACGGATCGGAATAAGTTAAAAAAGAATGCTTCTTTGAGTTTCTTTTCGTAAGCTACTCGTTGAAATGTAGAGATCCGACAATTAGAAGGTAATGAAAAGAAAGCAGATTAAATAAGGAATCGAAATTTAATGAAAATGAAGGAGAGACTTCACCTCAGATTCGTGGATCTTGGATCTGCTGCTTTCTGATTTCACCTGTATATATTAATAAATAAATAAACACAAAATTCGTGGATTTTAGGTTCCGGCAATAAAGACAGAAGATTAGGAGGAAGAATGAAGAAGGAAGTGGTGTTAAAGCTGGAACTCAAAAACGATGAAGACAGACAGAGTAAGGCGTGGAGGGTGGGGTCGAGGTCACGCGCTTCACTATCGTGCTACTAATTTCCTGCTATTGTCGGCGGTGATTTTGTTGGCTTTTTTTCTTTCAAAAATTCCTTTTGTACACGTTTTTGTACCCATCAGTACACTCATGTGTCTGTGAGAGTTTTGTTTTGTCTGTGAAGCGCGGTCCACAGACAAAAGCTGGTTTGTTTTGTCTGTGAAATTTTCCACAGACAAAACAAGTCAACTTATGTCTGTGGACCGCGTTTCACAGACAAAAAAAAATTCTCACAGACACATGCGTGTACTGATGGGTATAAAAACGTGTACACCAAAAATGGTTGTTTTTCTTTTTTATTTTTGGCAAAAAAAATATGGCCTCATCAAGGGATGTTTGCCAACACTCAAAAAAATCTTTTTAATTAAAATTGAAATCAATGTTTTTCAACAATTTTGTATAAGTTAAACACTTGAATACATAAAGTTGAAAGCAAGTGGATGGAACTTTGAAATTGTTTTGCACCTATCTTATTAGACAAAAAACATTTCTTACAAGCCATACCAATTTTTTTCTTTTGAAAATCATTTTATTTATCAACACTATCAACTTTTATTAGTAAGTGTTTTTTCCAAAATCTCTAGGGTTTCGGCCGCTAGAGTCTGAACATCCGATTTCGACTTAGTCGAAGATCGACGATTGCTTCCCTCGTGTTTCGTTGGTGCTCGCTTGGGTTCCAAGTCAAAGCGCGGAGGGAGAAGTTTGTTGGAGGTGGGTGGCATCGCTGCCTACTTGCTTCCTTCGGTGGACGAAGCAAGGCTATGGTGCATAAGAGATGGAGGGAATTGTCAAGTACTACCTCCGTCCCACTAAGATTGGGACGAGAGAAGGTGACACGATTATTAAGAAAAGTGAGTTTGTGTGGTTAATATTAAATTGATAAAGTAAGAATAAAGTAAGAATTGTTTAGAGACACAAAATCTTTAACAAATTTGATATGGGGACAATCTTAGTGGGACTTCCCGAAAAGATAAAATGGGACAATCTTAGCGGAACGGAGGGAGTATTACATGTAGATGGCTAATGTAGAGGAGGATAGTGAACTGAACTTTGACGATGAGGAAGGCGAAGGGGTCGAGACAGCCAAAAGGAAGGAGGCCTTTCCGGTGGTTGGAGTTGTTCTCACTAATCGGAAAATCAAATTTCAAGTTTTCAAAGATTTATTGTCTTCTATTTGGCGTCCGAGCAAAGAAATTTCCATCAAAGAAATTGGTGATAAAAGGTATCTATTTACTTTTTATCATATTGTGGATAAAAATCGTGTTCTTTAGGATGGTCCTTGGTTGTTTGAAAGGAAGTTGTTGCTTCTTAAAGAAGTTAGGCCAGATCAAATACCCCATAAAATGAAGTTGTCTAAGGCATAATTTTGGGTACAGATTCATAATGTATTATATAGTTTTATGAATTTGGGTACTGATAAGAGGATTGGAAATTATATTGGTATTCTTTTTGGAAATTATATTGGTAAATTTATTAGCTTTGATGAGAGTCAATTTGAGGAAAGGTAGGAATCGTATATGAGGGTTAGAGTCAGTATGGATGTTGGGAGGCCTCTAAAGAAGGGATCTACTCTTAAGAAAGGTGGTATTGGGCATTGGATGGATTAATTGAAAAGCTTCCCAGTTTTTGCTTTATTTGTGGAGTAATTGGACTACATTTTGATAATTTTTGTCCCCTAAAATATGAGGAAAACATAGTACTGGAAAAAACATTTGGGGTAGACCTTCGGGCTGGTGGAGGGGTGAGGACTAGTCCAAAAGAAGGTAATAAGTGTGTTGGGATATTGGGTCCAGGCCCAATATGCCCGGCCCAAAGTATGGGAAACCAGGAGGAAACAGAAGGCCCAAAGCAGTCCAGGCCCGTTCGGCGTTCGGCACATTACCTACACTTGGAACATTTCGGGTAATAATTATCCCCGCATTCTTGACAAGGTGCCGCACACCGATCGGCATTCGGGATATTAGCTATCAAGATAAACAATAACGGGATATTCCAATATCAAACACCCTACCCGAACGGGTAGTCAGCAAGTGGAGGCCGCATTTAATGCCGAAACATGGCAGCAGCAAGTGGAGGCATGGGTGCATACGTGGCAGGGGGCATAACCTACCAGATTCAGTCACGTGTCCAGCTTTCCCATCCCCATTTTAGTATAAATACCTGCATTGAATACATTGTAAAGGGTTAGCATTTCAATACTCAGAGCTTAGCAAATAGAAACACTTCACTTATTCTTATATTCTTGTACTTACCTACCGTTCGGGTAGTTTCAGTGTAATCACATAATTATTGAATACAAGTGAGCTTCTGAGTTGATCAATATTTCACTATTTTTTATTTTATACACTCTCCAAGCCAACCCAATATCCCTACAATATCCAAAGCTTGTGTTGGGCTTTCGGATCTTCGGGAATAAACCTCAACAAAGTGCTTATTGGAAAGCTCCTCAAGCTCATAGATCATCTATATCTATATCTATATCTATATCTATATCTATATCTATATATTATACATTTGAAAGTAACATTGGTTGTAATTTTGGCCACGTGTCACTTCTACACTAACTCTGTCACATGTCACTTCTTGGTACATGATATCCTCCTATTCTTCTAAGGCACAATCTTCCGTTCCTGCAAATCAATTTGACAATATTCCCCATAAATCATGTCTATATTGCATTATTGGTCATTTAATATTGCCATAATATTGCATCGGTTGTAATTCCCATAATATTGCACTGTAATATTATTGGCAGTAAATTTGGCACCATAATACAGAGTATTTATTGTTACTGCTACATTTATTGGCAGTAAATTTGGTATATATTGCATCTAAATTTTGATCGTAATATTACCACGTTTAAGTTTTTATACATTGGCATCTAAATTCTGACTGTAATATTATCATATAGATTCATTCATTTACATTTATGTCAATCTAATATTACCATACCCGTTATGTCAATCTTTTGTTCCACTCATGCCTAAATTACATTCGTTTACATTTATGATTTATGATTTCAATGCACACATTTTGTTGTACATTTCTCACCCAATTTATACCTCATGTATAATATATTTTTCGCTCCATATTTTCGTACCCAATTAAATATGGGGTCCGTTTCATATATTTGGAAAGTCGGGTCACTTAATAGTATATATGAGTAATAATTATGAATCTTCATGTTTATTTGGAAACTTAGAGTAAGTTACCATTTATAGTACTTTGACGTAGTATAGTTTTACTTACACTAGATAGATTGACAATATCAATGTCTTTAAATTATATCCTCGCTAGGCAATACGCATAGACTTACCAATTTGTGTCACTCAAAATTTCAAATCATATTTAGTGTTGCCATATACAACCTGCTCTTTATACGTATGTTCCCTATAATTTAGCCCTTAACCAAAACTATTAGCATACATATTTATTTTATTTACCATATATATGTCATTCATCTTTCACTTTAAAAACTCATTGACAACAAAAATTGTCGCCATTTGCCAATTTCCACCACCTCCAGAAATGACTTCCTCTATCAACTATGACTCAATTTCGAGTATTTCAACTGCCAACGGTAATTGGAATATTATTTTAGTTCGCTTGTGGTTCATTCCAGAGTCGAATTCCTCCAGACTAAATAATCATCGGTCATTGGATATGGTTCTAATGGATGAAAATGTATGTTGCATAGATCACTACCCGTTTTTCAATCTTTCATTTCATATTAAAATTCACACAGGAACTCATATGGTGTGCTCTCACAAAATTCAAAACTTGGATAGCCGCACAAAACTAGGAGAACTTAGATGGTTTTTTATGATTTTTGTTATGCTGAGGCATGAAGTATGTGGGGTAGTATTACTTTCAAAATCAGATCGTATATATAAATCACTATATATGTGCACATAACATCCTTTCGGGTGTATGTTCACAATTTACTTACATGGTTCATGCCTCAATTTGTAAGGTCCTCATATGCCATTTTCAGAATGGACAGTTTAATTTATTCTATCCGTGCCTTCACCTTCGCTTCCAATACCAGGTATTTTAGGCCTACTCATAAGTACAAAATAAATTTTCAAATTCAGACGCAGGTAGTAAGGGTTGAAGATGAGACTTGAGACTGTGTTCAATTCAAGAACAAATTTTCGTTAGTTCCGATTAACTCAACTTTACCTAGAGAAATTGATATGGAAGTCTTGGTGGTTATGCTTTCGTACCCAAAGTATGCCTATCACGATTCAATTCAAAGATGTGATCGGATTTGCGACCGGATATGGCATAGAACAGGAGATGGAGATATATGGGACAAAGTTAAAAAGAAATTATATTATGCTAGAAGCTGACGGGTATCCATTTGACAAAATAATATTATTCTTAACATGTGTTTTATTGTGCTATTACCTAAACTTTAATGACTTCAACAATGCTTTTTATGTTCAGTTACAAAATCGGATGCACTCTATTTCAACCATATGTTGATGGGTTGAACCTATTTCTCTCTTCAGGGAAGAAAAATAACATTGTTGTGATAGTGCAGCTATCACAACGGTTCTAATTTTTTTATGTGATCAATTTATTCTTTTATAATATGCCCTTATGTTTATTATACTCAGTACTAACTCGTGCATTTTTCAGAAATTGATGTAGAATACAGTAAACAAATTATTAAGTTTTTCACAATATGTAAAACATAAAAATACCTCATATATAGGAGAGATTTTCCGTAGGTTTACATCTTTTCACTCTCTTTGTTTTGTTAAATACCTTGGTATCTTTAAAAAAAATAGCAAGTTGCTTTAATTTCCTTTGGCTGTGCCGGCAAGAAAGGATGGAGATTGGAGAAGAAGTCGTCGTCATTCACTCCACAAAATTTCAATAGAAGATAACCAGCAATGTTTGGCTGTGCAAGCAAGATAGGAAGATAAAAATTCTCTTAGTTTTGTTTGGATATGAAAGATTGAAAGGATGGAGATTGGAGAAGAAGTCGTCGTCATTCTCCTAACATGTTGGTTTCAATGCTCAACCAACGTTTCTTATCCAAATAAAATGTATGGTTTTATTTTAATAAGGAATATATTACAATGTTTAACAATCTTTCCTAATACTCAAAATGTATTTCTTATTTGATGCAATATTGCCTAGAATGATGAGTAATACGTAGTAAGGAGTATTTTTTTTAATGCTCAAAGTCTTATAAATTTTTAATTAATACACATATTAATAATTTTAAGAGATATTATTAAAGTTGAAGTTGAATACAGAGCATTGAGTCTGACTAGACCCATATTAAAAAAAATCGAACAAATTTCTATATGAAATTTGTTACACTCAATTTTAAAATATTTTTAAAATTTGGCGGAATTGGGTTGCTCCCCAATTCCACCGGTGGATATTAGCGTCACTTGCATGTTACTAAGTTCCTTAGTGCCCATTTGATAACTTTATTTTCAGTTTATCAGTCTTATCAATTTTCTTTATCTATCATGAATTTTTAATTTCGCTCATTAAGTTGTGTAATAATCGAAATAAGTAAGAGTATAGTTATTTTTTAGCTAACTCGATTAAAGTTACTTTACAAAATCATTTTAGCTCATTATTCATATAACGTTTTTTATATAATTCATAGAAAGTTTATTTTTCTTTCAAAAAATTAATAGGTTCAATCAATTCAGTCATTTTAATTATGATTTTATTAATTTCAGAACATTCAGCCGTTTCAGTCAATTTTAGTATTAGCGAAGACACTCTTATTTTATAATAAAATAATTGGCCACCACATGAGAATACAAACAACAACTGATAAGATTGAAATTTAGATCTATAAATGAATAATGAATAAAAACATCAAATAATTACATAGTATATAAAAATAGAACCATCTATTATTTGGTATAATAATTAAAAATGAAAGTTAGTCTAAAGTAAAATTCATTGTTCATATTTCCGTAAAAAAAACAAAATTTTCTGAACTTCGTTTTTATTTGCCTTTTCTTCAAAGTTTCATTAATTTCTCCGTGCAGGGCACTGGTCGAATACTAGCTAATCAACATAGTAAAGCATATCAGGAAGGTGAAGGGACAGGGAAGCAGGAGTGGCGTGAGTCCACAACAGGTTGAGGGAACAACTCGACTAAGGAAGGAGACATAGGCAACACTGAGGAGGTGTCGGGGGAACAAAAGCGCAGAAGAATGTGGGAAGAGCAATCACAAGAAGATCCAGCAGGAGAGGATATGTCACTAGATAACCCAAAAACCGGGAAGACAGTGGGTCTGGGACCCTAGATCAGTCGGACATGTAACTAGTGTTCATGCTCGGGAGAACTAATTTTGGTGTTTTTTTGTTGCATGTATGTTCTTTGATTTTCACGTTCAAACTATTGTCGTTTGTTTTAATTTGTTTTTATGTTGTAAGTCTTTTGCATTAGGATTGGATGATGAGAGGTCTGCGATAACCGTCTTTGGCTCATTTATGCCCAATTTAGGATTATCGAGTTATATTGTTTTGTCAAATGTGATTAACTTTGAGTCTAGTTTAAGGGCTGATGGTTACATGTGTTTCTCTTGTTGTTTTAACCTCTATCTGAATGTTGTGATATCAATCAAAACCTGCTTCTTCCAAAAAAAGGTATTTTTTTTTCAAATTCAGTTTAAAGATCACATTTTAAAGTCAAAGCAATCGCAAATATTCTCTAAATCAATGTATAAGGCCTTATTTTTCGATTTATGATTCTTACATACCTCTGTCAAATATGAAACTTTTTATTATGAAATTGGGTACTGCTAGGAGGATTGGAAATTATATTGGTTTTTTTTATTGAAATTATATTGGTAAATTTATTAGCTTTGATGAGAGTCAATTTGAGGAAAGGTGGGAATCGTATATGAGGGTTAGAGTCAGTATGGATGTTGGGAAGCCTCTGAAGAAGGAATCTACACTTAAGAAAGGTGGTATTGGGCATTGGGTGGAGTTCAAGTATGAAAATCTTCCCAATTTTTGCTCTATTTGTGGAGTAATTTGACATTCTGATGAATTTTGTCCCCTAAAATATGAGGAAGGCATAGTACTGGAAAAAAACATTTGGGGTAGAACTTCGGGCTGGTGGAAGGGTGAGGACTAGTCCAACAAGGGGTAATAATTAGTTGTTAGTGGAAAGCTCCTCAAACTCAGAAATCATTAGGCAACAGAGGAAAGCATATCGGAAAGGTGAAGGGATAGGGGGAAAGGGGTGGGGTGAGTCCACAACAGGTTCAGGGAACAGCTTGGCTAAGGAAGGAGACATAAGCAGCACTGAGGAGGTGTCGGGGGACCAAAAGTGCAGAAGCATATGGGAAGAGCAGTCACAAGAAGATCCAGCAGGAGAGGATTTGTCACTAGATAACCCAAAAAAATGGGAAGACGACGGGTTTGGGTCCCTAGATCAGCCGGACGTGTAACTTATGTTCATGCTCGAGAGAACCAATTTTGCTGTTTTTTGTTGTATTTATGTTCTTTGATTTCAATGTTCAGACTATTGTCGTTTGTTTTGATTTGTTTTTATGTTGTAAGAATCTTGCATTAGAATTGGGTGATGAGAGATCTGCGGTAACCGTCTTTGGCTCATTTATGCCCAATTTAGGATTATCGAGTTATATTGTTTTGTCAAAGATGATTAACTCTGAGTCTGATTTAAGGAGTGATGGTTACATGCGTTTCTCTTGTTGTTTTAACCCCTATCAGAATGTTGTGATATCAATCTAAATTTCTTCTTCCAAAAAAAGTATTTTTTCCAAAATCAGTTTAAAGATCACATTTTAAAATCAAAGCAATCACAAATATTCTCTAAATCAATGTTTAAGGCCTTGTTTTTCGATTTATGATTCTTACAGGCCTTCGCCAAATATGAAACTTTTTATGATGACTAGGGGTGAACCGTAGGGGTGGACCGGTTCCGGGCCGGGCCCGGTTCGGGCCTTGAACTGGCCGGGCCTCGGTTCAAGGTAGGGGAGGCCTGGAACCGGCCCGGGTAACCCCGGGTCCGGTTCGGGCCGGGCCGGGCCGGGCCCGGTTCGGTTCTATATAATTTTTTTTTTGGTTTTCCTAATCAACCCCTACCCTCCCCCTCAACCCCAAACCACCTCAAACCACCTCAAATGGCCCAAAATATCCAATCCAACCCAAAAACTTAAAAAAAAAAAAAAAAATCAAAAAAAAAATGGCCCAGACCGGGCCCGGACCGGCCGGGCCGGTTCACCAAAATGAAGGCCCGAGCCCGGAACCGGTAGCCACCGGGCCGGGTCGACCCGAACCTCCCATGGGCCGGGCCGCCGGGCCGGGCCGGTTTAAACAGTGACCGGGCCGGGCCGGTTCCGATTCGGGCCGCCCGGCCCGAGTCCAACCCTAGTGAACCGGGCCAAGTCCGGTTCCGGATTGAGCCTAGGCCCGATCGGGCTTGGATGGTTATGGGTAAGGCCCGGAACCGGCTCGGCCGGTTCCAGTTCAATATTTTTTTGTGCTTTCTTATTTATTTCAACCCCCCCATCCCCCTCACCCCCCAAACCCCTCGGAAGCACCCAGCCCAACTAAATCCAGCCCAAACCCAAAACAAAACAAAAAAACGAACTGGGCCCGGCTTGGCCCGACCGGTTCTCCTTTTTCATGACCCGGAACCGGTTACCCCCTCGGGCCGGGTCGGTCCGCACAATAGCGGGCCAGGCCGGTTCCGGGTCGGGCGATCCGCACCGAGTCCATCCCTAATGATGACACGTAGAAGAGTAATACTCCCTCCCATTTTGGGTTGTACTACTTTTCTTTTTGGGTTGTCTCAAAATGAATTTCTTGTTTCCCTTTTTTGCTAGAAATATGTGATTCTTATCATTTCACTTTATTTTACTCAAATTTCAATCACAACTTTTACTTTTCGACCACTTTATTAATAACCGCTTAATTACCTGTTAAACGGACTGTTTTGCCTCGTTTTTATAGTTCGTGGGCTTAATTGAATGTTTTTTTAGTTCAGGGCTTAATTGACTTTTCTGTATTAGTAAGGGAGCCTATTTGACAGTTTTCCCTTTGGTTTATTTTATGAAGTTGCTCAAGATTGCCATTTTACCCCTTTTAATTTTTTCAATAAAATGGACTTCCAATATACGTAGTGATTTTTTTTTATAATTCAATGATCCATCTAATTCAGCAACAACTAGGCAACTAGCTGAACCACTTCGCCCTTTTAAAACCAAACAAGTTCAAATTGCATTGTTTGGTTAGTGAATGGTGAAAGATAAAGCTACCAAGGAGTACTTATTCATATGATCACCGTCCAATTGACACATCAGCAGCATCTTCTGTCTGGAGGGGCCGCCATTTGCGTCCGAAGATGGTTGATTCCGGTGCATCATGTGACACCCGATTCACCTTCTCATCTATCACCTCGAGCAACTCCTGCAACCCAACTCCAGTAATCGCTGATGTTTTGACATGTGAACTAAGGGGTTGAGACCGTAAATTTCTTTCTCTACTCCTCATCCAACCCTGGGAGGGTGCCGCCCAAGAGGCGTTTGAATCCCCAGATCCAATGGTGGAGTCGTCATAGTCAACCCACAAGTCATCTTGTTCACCGTCTGAGGCTAACCAGGTGTCTGAGAGGTCACCTTTTTCAGCTTCTAGTTCCCCTTCAGGACCCATATCTTGATCATCAATTTCATCATTTTCTTCCTCTTCAACTTCTTCGTTGTCACATTCAACAAAATGGCGTTTCCCTTCTTCAATGTCAATCTATAAAACCATTGTGAAATATCAAACCCTCTAGAAGCTTTAACATATCTATTTCCTATGGCTTTGGGTCCGTTTGGACCTTCAAGGCTAGCAAAAGAAAATAGCAAAGAAATATTGGAAGAAATGTAAAGGAAAGCATTTCTATAACTTATTTATATTTATTTAAAAAAATCTCCATATATAAATACAAAGAAATCTAAATATAAGTAAAAATGGACAAATAATACTTCATTTTTTGCATTGGTTAAGACAAATATAAAAAAACAACTTTATTAGCATTTTCTTTCCGCTCTCTGGAGCACTTCCCATGATCCAAGCATAGCCTTGTGGGAGGTAGAGAGGAAAGCAAAGGAATTGTGTATGTTTCGTTGGGGAGAACAGTAGAGGATGCAATAAAACCCTCCAAACCGCTCATATATCACTCCCCTAACTTAGGTTTTATTTCTTTCATTGCTTTCACTTAACTAAATATGCTACATTATTATTGATCACTAAACATGTAGATGAATTATTTAATGCTCATTACATTTTAAATTACAATGAAAATTATATCAATACAATATCTTCACATATATTCCTAAAATACTAATTCGTCCCCGCTTCTTCACTGAACTAAACATAACCCTCATTGTTTTTTTTAATCACTTCCCATTTTCGCTCCTCCCTTCTTTTGAACAAAACAAGGACTGAGGGTTTGTTATCTAAATTTTGAAAACGATAAGGGTCCATTAACCCATCAAGTAAGACTGTAAGAGTACCTTGTTCCAAACTTCGATCATATTTTCAAGCTTCTCCTCAGATACACCAATCTGCTCAAGAACTTGCAACACAGTCTCCCGTTGTTCATCCAAATTTGGTGCACTTGAATCTAGCACATGCTGCGACACATAAAATATTGATAATATTTTATTTTTGTTACCCAAAATATTAGTAGTAATACTGAGGTAGAAGAGCAGAGCTCAAACCATAAGCACATCAGCTTCCACAACCTCTTCCAATGTTGCATGAAATGCTTCCACTAGCTGCGCAATATATATTTCCAATAAAAAATGAATAACCATACATTAATCCAAGGAAAAGAATGGATTAACTATCGGCTTACCTGTACAGGCAAATCTGATATAAATCCGACTGTATCACTTAAAAGAACCTTCTTGCTGAACCAAAGATTTTGCTCTATTGTATTACAATAGAAATAAACATATACAAAACAACCTGAAAATCATAACTACATATGTTTACCCTGATGGCAGAATAACACTGCTTAACTTCGGGTCAACCGTTGCAAACAGTCTGCAGAACAAGAGCAAAGGGGTAAGTGATGCACGGGAAACAAGCAAGTTTAGATTTTTTTCCAGGTGGATGACATCTCATACCGATCATCACTATAGAGATAGCTGTCCGTAAGGGCACTCACTAGCGTAGATTTGCCCTGTAAAGTGAAGAACTTATTAACACAATCGTACATGAGGTATTGGCACACAAGAATATATAGATATGCGTATACATGCAAGTGCACGACATAATAAAATAATTTTAAAAAAAACATCAACATCCAAGCCTTAATCCTGAGAGAATTTGGGATCGGCTAACATGAATTGACATACTCCGTATGACATTGAAGTTTAAAAGGCAGAGGGATGACGTGATGCTATTTGGTGATGACCTGGCTTTGTAGCGATAGTCATATATCAATTATGCTATGTGATATGACTAAGTTATATTGTTGGCCCTCACACGCCTAGAACAAGATCCTCCTCTTTTATGGATTCACAAACCGAGGCTCCTTGCTTGGGACAGGCATGATACCAGTAACATAATTCAGAATATATAAAAAATAATAATAAAACTCAATTGTTAAACTTGGTTTACCACTTTTACCATATATGTTTCACATTGGCATAAAAATGTCATATCTAACAAGTACTCGATTCTTATAAATATCCAAACCAGCATATAAGTTAAAAAACAAGTGTTCGTTCAGCAACCTTGTATTTTAGGGCTTTTGGCTTATAAGCCAAATCTTTTACCAAACACTAACTTATTGATTCAAGCATGGAATGTGTTAATATTGAAAAAACGTTTGACGGGTGGTATTTTGGCTAATTTGGTTAAAGAGAATCATTTTATCTGTTTCATATAATTTATTCTTTATTAATAAATATAATTCAAATATGATTCTTTCCAAAATTCAATAGTTTCAGCCATACCTTCAGCAGTTCGGCAGAGTCTGCACATTTAGTACTACCAAATGAGCTTGAAGAAACTAGGATAATAGATTTGCAAAATTGAGGCAACATTTATTTACACATTCATCTTTTGTAGAAAACTATGCATGGAAACAGGTCAAAATGTATATAAGGATTGTCTAATGCTTACAGCATTTGTATAACCCACAACAGCAACGGTAGCAATGCTGTGGCCATTTGACCCTCCTCCATGTCGCTTCCGAGATGCACGTTGCAAGGCTCTCGTACGCCGAACCTCTTTTATTTCAGATAACAATTGCATACGACGCTCTAAAATTCTGGAATTCAACAAGTTCTAGTAAGCAAGTATATAATCATGTGAACAATGACATACATGATGCTATCATGTGAGCACAATATTAATAATCCTTCATGACAGAAAACAACACATACCTTCGCCGCTGGAGTTGCAATTCTGACTCTCCAGAACCACTAATAAAACCACGTCCTCCACTTCCTCTCCTTCAAATTAGTAGTGTACCCTTCAGTACATTTTGAGACTAGAAACTATGATGAGTTGACCACTGTTGACTGGTTGTAATCTATAGGGGAAGAAAGAAATGATAAACTAACCCTCTAGCACTAACAACCTCTGCTTCTCCCATTGCACCGAAAGAAGAGCGCCCACCGGGACCACGTGACCGTACAAGTAGACTCTTCTTATACATCAGTGCTGCTAACTCAGCCTATGGAGCTATACAGTTTCAGATATACATCCATACAGATATCTTATAGCTACCCCTTTCCAAAAGTGATGCATATGAATAAATACACAATACCAAAAGAAATTACTACAAATAGGAGTCAAACAATAGTAGCACGCATAAAATAGGAGTATCCTTGTTTTGTGCTAGAAAGACAACTTATTTATTTAGTCTTAAAAGTAATACAATTAGTTACTCCGTATTATTCTTGCTTTAGGAGTCAATGGGTCTTATTTTTAGGAAAAACAATGATGGTTCCATTTGAAGAGATGTATTATGTTGTATTGAAAAGTTTCCTTTATCAATTAATTAAATGGGAAATAGAGCACCTTTACAGTATATTGTGATTTGTGATTACCTGTAACTTTGCTTCCTTTGTCTGCGCATGCGCATTAAATATTTCTATGATAAGACCTACACGATCAATAACAGGTTTACCCCATTCACGCTGCCATTTGGTAGGAGGAATAAAATGGTTGAACAGAGTGACAAGTTAATATGGAGTACTTCAAAATCAATCAAAAACAGAACTATATACAAAAAATTAACAGTCATTATCATTATTCTAACTTACTGCCAAATTCCTCTGCTGGACTCCAGAAAGCATTGCATTAACAAAAACTGCATCCACTCCCCCCTAAAAATAGAAGGCAAAATAAGGGGGACATAATCTTACAGGCAAAGTCATGAGGAAGCCTTACAAGATTATTCTTTACTCTCATCAATCATTCAACCCAAAACTCAATACCTCCGAGTCCAACGCATTTATATGGCACTTTATTGTGTTTACTGTCCCAACGCCAAAGTATGTATCTGAGGCATTCGAGAAGATCAATCAATAGGTGCTTAGAAAGTCCACAGCTTTACGCACAAGGGAGAAAGCTTTAAATAGAAACTACCAGCACGAGGGTGTTTCGCGGCAGGGTTCTGCACAACGATATGAGGGGGAATCGATTTCTCAGAGAACTCGGTTTCGTAGGACCCATCTCGTTGTTCTTCAAGGGAATTGGCAAGATTGAGAGCTTCTTCAAGCTTGAGTTTCAAAGCCGAATCGGGCTTTAATCGGGGCTGCACTACCAGTATATTTGATGGGAATTTGCTGCACTCATCGTGTCGATCCTCATCTTGACGCCTCTGCAGCAGCGGCGGCGAAAATGAGAGCGAGCGGAAGCAGGACGGTGGGTGCGGCAGGAAGAGGTGCGCTGCTCTGAGGGTGAACTGTTGGCATCGTAACTGAGAAATCGCTCTCAACATTTGGATGTTCTATGTTGCAGGGAGTAGGAATTGGCTTGTCGACTGGCGAAAGAAGATCAGTGTTCAGTTGTGAACAGAGGCGACCCATGCCCATCCAGCGGGTCGGGCCAACAGTGGATATATCAGTCAATGAGAAATTGAAAAGTGCGCCGGCCCATACCGGCCAGAGAACCGTCACATAGAACCGAATCAAATCGTTATGATTCAATTCGGTTTCGACATTAATTAGGATGTTTTTACTTGAACTGTAATTTGCTGGTCTGATCTGGTCTGGTCTGAACTGGTCTTGTCTGGTCTGGTAAGGTCTGGTTTCTTTGTATTTTTATAACTATCCAAGTCTGGTCTGATCTGAACTGGTCTGGACTGGTCTGGTCTAGGGGTGCAAACGAGCCGAGCCGAGCCCGATTTTCTACAGGCTCGAGCTCGAGCTCGAAATATATAGCATCGGCTCGAGCTCGGGCTCGGCTCGAACGAGCCTACAAAATCGCGGCTCGAACTCGACTCGCAGAAGGCTCGGCTCGGCTCGAGGCTCGATAACCATTATGATGCTCCATAATGAGTCCGTAGTAAAAATTCACTGTCATCGGCCCATTCTAAGTTTTTCTACTGAGTAGTAACAACCTAAACCTAAAATATTACGTAGTATAAAATTTTACTAATCAGCATATATTATATACTCCCTCCGTCCCCTTTTAAATATCCCGTTTTACCATATTGGGATGTCCCCATTTAATTGTCTCATACCTTATTTAATTTGGTAAAGTTTGTGTGGTTCAAAATTATTTTTACTTTATTCTTACTTTATCAATTAATATCAATCACACAAACCCACTTTTCCTAAAACTCGTGTCATACTTTTCCGAGACATTTAAAAGGGGACGGAGGAAGTATATATATATATTACTCCGTACATTATAACAGTATACATTATATATTAATTTATATTGCATAGTAATATATTATATATGATTATATAATACATACATATATATATATATATATTATAAATATTCACATATAAAATTAGGCTCGCGAGCCGGCTCGCGAGCCAGCGAGCCTGAAATTAGAAGGCTCGAGCTCGGGCTCGACTGCTTAACGAGCCGGCTCGAGCTCGGCTCGAGCTCGAATTTGACCGATCCCGATTCGAGCTTTGACCGAGCGGCTCGCGAGCGGCTCACGAGCGGCTCGGCTCATTTGCACCCCTAGTCTGGTCTGGTCTGGGACAAATTACAGTCCAAGTAAAAACATATTAATTAATGTTGAAACCGAATTGAATCATAACGATTTGATTCAGTTCTATGTGACGGTTCTCTGGCCGGAATGGGCCAGAGAATCGGAATTAGAATCTGAATCAGTTTCCAGAAACTGGTCCCCACATCTTCTAAAAAAACTGATTGTAGGAGTAAATTAGAGCACGAGAATCATTTCTGCACTTACACTCAAACACCCCAACTTCTGTTTCTGCTCCCTGAAGGAGTTGAAGCAGTTTTAAGAATCAGATTCAAACACCCCCTTACTACTCTATAGTATTTATTAACAGTTCAATTCCTATGTTTTATTAACGGTTCGTTTCTCGGTGCCAATAAATAATATGTGTGTAAACCGTTAAAGAACTCTTGTGTAATAGGAAGTAATTAATTTTTAATCTATTATGGAGTATTTATTAATGCATACTACTTACTTTTTCTTACATTTATTTATACATATTAAATTCATTAATTTAGTTTATTTAATAGAATTGATAACTTAATAAGTATTGCATCTGTCTCACTAAAATTGGTGGTGTGATTATTAAGAGAAGTAAATTTATATGGTTGATATTGAATTGATCAAACAAAAATAAAGTATGAATTTTTAAAACCACGCACATTTTGTCAAATTTGGTATAGGGCAATATTTTAGCGGGACAGCTGGAATATTTAACCAATTCCTCTTTAGTGAAGGTCTTTTTGTTTCTTTATTAAAAAAAAATTAATTTGTTGTGTACATATGTTTGAAACTAAACTTTTGAGGTTTGAAAATTGAAATTTTGGTAACCTTAGACCATATTTATATTGTTTATAATTTCAAACATTGAGTGTTTCAATGTGACTGGAAAATTAGAGGTAATTTGTAGGAGATTAAAAAAAAAACAAGGGAACCGAAAAATTACTAGAATCGAATTGAGGTCGGGGACAGAGGTCGCTCCGGTAGGTGAGGGGAGGCCTAAGGGTCTGTTTGCAACAACTTCTTCTTTTAAAAAAGTGCTTTTTTTAATGAAATGGGGAGAAGTGATTGAATAAAAGTTGATAGTGTTTGAGAAAAAAGTGATTTTGAAAAGTAAAAGTAGGTAGTGTTTGGTAAAATAAGTGCTTTTTGTGTAATAGGAAAAGTAGAAGCACTTTTGACGCGGAAGCCGAGAAAAATATAAGTTATAGTGTTTGGGAAAATAAGTGTTTTTTTAAAAAGCAAAAGTTGAGAAGTGCTTTTCTAAAAAAGTTGCAAACCAACTCTAAATGATGGAAAGGAGCTGACTTAGAAGGGAAAAGAAAACGTAAATCAATAAAGAGGGAAAGAAGCCGATCATCAAACTTAGAGAGAGGGGGGAGGGGAGAAAGAAAGAACTAGATCTTTAAAAGGAATAACTATCAATGATATTGTCATAGGGAGCACTACATTTAAATGGTCAGGTCCAGCCCTCCCCTGTCTGGCCGTCGTCCGAACTCCGCCGTTTGGGGCGGTTCTCGGTGGAATTTTTTGATGAAATTCTTTTAGCATGTTCTTCATTAAGTCTAGTTTGTTCATAACAAATTTCAGCTCCAAATTCGATCAGGAAGGCAGTCAAATCATTTTTTAAGTTGATTGCGCCAAAATATACATATAAAAACGCAGTCAACTTCAAAAAATGATTTGAATGCCTTCCCGGTCGAACTTTGAGCTGAAATTTGGTATGGACAAACTAGACTTGTCTTAGGTTTCAGTTTGGGAGCCATACGAAAACGAGAACTCCCGAATGCTGGAATATACTGAAATATGAGGAACATTCTCAAACAATTTCATCAAAAAATTCCACCTAAACTGCCCCAAACGGCGGAGTTCGGCCGGCGGCTGGACAGGGGAGGGCTGGACGTGACCATTTCCGCTGCATTATATTACTACGTATTGGATAATGAGATTTTTATCTCAGATTTATAGTGAGGTGGATATGGCTAGGGTTGTGAGCAATAGTCCATGATATGTCTTTTTAATCAAAACTTGTATTGTCTAAAAGAGGATGATGTGTTGTTGAATGTTATCTATTTTTGGGTCCAAACATGTACCATTATGTTTGGTTTTATGATGTCTCAAGTAGCAAAATGTATTCATCCAAAAAAAAAGTAGCAAAATGTATGGGCGAGTATATTCGTGTTTTTATCAATGGGGATCAGAAAACCTTTAGGGTATGTTTGGTTCAAGGAATGTCAGATAACCATGGGAATGTTAGATTACTGGATATGTTAGATAGACGGGAATGTGATTAATGTATAGCCTATTTGTGTTTGGTTACGATTAAGGAATGTCACATTAAGTTGTTTGGTTGAATGATATCTTTTATTGCATATTTGGTGAATTACTTGAATGTCCTTTATATTTTTGTCTCTTAACACATTAAATTTATCAATTATTAGAAAATGTATTTCATGTTTTAATTTTTTTTCTCAATTTTCAATTGTAGTTCATGTTTCAAATAAATATACTTTAAGTTTTTATATGTATCACTTCTTGAATTATTTTTTAGACATGAATTAGAAAAATGTACCCGGCCCGGCCCATTACCCGGGCGGGTAGACCGCCCCAAACCGGTACTGGTCAACAGCCGTTCCGGTCCCGGGCTTCATTCCCAAAAAGCCAAGCCCTTCCGGGCCCGACCCGGAACCGGAATCGGACTGGTCTCAGTCCACATCTAGATATTTCGATTAATGAAGCATAGGTTTTTTTGGAAGAAAATTAATAAGCCATCAGGAATCTAACATAACCTAAGGCATTGGTGGGTTTGACATGCCTGGTAATGTGATCACCTTTTCCACTTTTGGGAATGTAACATTCCCAAAAGAAAAAATCAAACCCGCGAACCAAACACAGGTATCTCACATTCCGGGCATGAGATTCCGCCATGCATAAGATATCACCTTGAACCAAACACTCCCTTAGAGCCCGTTTTGGTTGGGGTGATCTCACATGAAGACCGGAATGTGATGCACGGAAAGTTAGATACTCTTATTTGGTTACAGGTTTGAAAACAAACCGGGAAAGTTACATTCCCGGGAATGTAATATGGCGGGGAATGTTAAACTCATCCATGCCTTAGGTTATCTCACATCCACGGGGTGATCTAATTTTCTTCCGAAAATACCTTCAATTAAGTATCTCTTTCAATTTAATTTCTCTATACAACAACAACATCCAAGCCTTAGTCTCAAAAGATATGGGGTCGGCTAACATGAATCGATACATGATATCAGCAAAAGGGAAAAAAAATAAAGATAAAAAATATAAGCTATTATAAAAAGATCATATAAAAGAGTCAATTTAATTTCTCTATATATTTGATAGAGTATATGGGCCTGGACCCCATGGCCCACATACTCAACGGCCCAGAAGGCACCAGCAGGACGCCCACGTGACACCCGCATCGGCCAGAGGCCCGCAACGTCTAAAGAAGAAGATATCACCAGGGTCCCTTAGGACACAGCCCAGGGGCCGCATCGTCCAGAGACCGCATCTTCCATGGACCGCATCGTCCATGGACCGCATCGTCCAGGCAGTATGTATTTCCTATTTTATGTACTAAGTGTTGTACTCAGCCCATTAGTGGCCTTATTCGCCCAAAGAGGGCATGATTATTGTAATGGGCCTCCTAAGCCCAAGGCTAGGGGCCCATATCCACATTTTTACCCATAAATAGACCCCAAGGGGCTAATTATAGGGGGTTGAGAAATATAATTACTCACTTTATCTCTCTAGCTCTCACATCTCTCTAGAATTAAATACTCTATCAATATTCAACTACTATCAAATTTGATTTTTTGTGACTTTATGAAACTTTTAATGTAGTCTCTAAATATG